CCGAATTCGACAAAAATTGATTTTCTGGCTTTATTAGGCATCAAAACGCATCAAACCCTAATAGAAATTTGTTTCTAAATGCCTCAGGGACCATACTGTGTCGTCAAAGTGCCGAAATATTGCACTTTGCATTCGCAGTAGAATTGACATAGGCGGCTCATGTACGTATCGCAAGGCTGCAACAAAATAATTAATTGTATAATAAAAATTCGTTCGTATTAATAAATCATAAACTGTCACATATTTTTGAGTAATGATATACTACATTTTGATAAACCTTAAACTTGTTTGATCCACCACCGGTGGGTCACACTTAATTATCCCGTGGGGCGACGTGCATCACAGATGAGTTTTCAAAAAATAACTTTATTTTATTTTTTGCCAACATTATAAACAAAAATTGAGTATTATAAGCATTAACATTTAAATTGATAACAATTATTTATTTATAAGCATGCAACTTTTTGAAACATTCTAAACATAATGCGGGCTGGCCCGTACAATTTTTACAATATGTTCTTATCTTTTTACTTTTTTTCGCGGCGTATAATCTACCTTGTATTTTCGATAATCATTTGTAACATTCTTTACATCGTTTTCTTGTTTCTCTGACAACCCCTTTGAACGATTGTAGAAAACGTGTGTGTTTTCTTGACCGTTTTTTCTTTTCTATTCCACATTCTTCGATTTCTTTGTGAAAAATTCAGAAAGGAAAAGTGCTAACCGCCTCCGTAGAAGAAAAGATAATTTTACCTACCTTTACACTTGATGCAAGAAATGTGCGTTTCGAAAACTCAATGTCAAAACTGTTTTGATCTTCGAAAACTCAATGTCAAAACTGTTTCTTTGTGAAAAATTCAGAAAGGAAAAGTGCTAACCGCCTCCGTAGAAGAAAAGATAATTTTACCTACCTTTACACTTGATGCAAGAAATGTGCGTTTCGAAAACTCAATGTCAAAACTGTTTTGATCTCGTATTTAGCGCGTTCGAAGCTTCGAAGAAGTAACAATGTCGCCCCGTCCCACGAAGAAAAATGTAAATATTCGCTCCGGCGTGAACGTGTTAACGATCTCACAACAAATAATTATTTAAGTAAGTATTATTTAAGTTAATTATGTCATTTGAAAATATTTTAATGTTCCACAGCACTGAAACAACATTCCAAGAATTTAAGGACGCAGTGTTATCACATCGAAAAAAGATGTTTGTTGATGAGAAAGTATGTATATCCTTGGAATTCGATAACACGCTTACAAGTGTTAAGATTAACACATCCTCACATCCTGAGGATCTATCGGTTACTTCGAAGCGTTATGGATCTTGTATCTACCAGGATACAGTGATTAAACAGAAAATTAATATACTCTTAGAATTTAAGGACGCTATTACCAATTTGAGTATCAGGACAGCTTCAGATCCTGAGGATATATCAGTTACAATGAAGAATGACGAATTCTTCACTTGTAAAGATATAGTAATTAGTGGCATAATTAACGTGTCCCTAGAAATCAGTGAGGTACTTACTAATTTTAAGATTAGTACATTCTTAGGTCATGAAGATATAGTAGACGATAAGATTGGTATATACTTGAAAATCAAAGATAAGATGATTAAGGAACAAGTTAGTATATACATGGAATTTGATGATTCGCTTGTGGGTATGAAAATTCGTGCTTTGTAACTTCATGGCCGCATTGTAATCTAATATTAAATTAGAAAAAAATCAAGAAAAATACAAAAAAAAATCTGAATTAATTTAGAAAATCCATACACTACTCTTGGCATGTGCTCTTATGTCAATGTAATATAGTGACGTATTGAATTAATTATTTAATAAATATTGTTACGCGAATAAGTGTAAAAATCAATCAATAAGGTTTAATTTCTTTATTCCACAAAATAGAATATATCATTGCAAAAATGAATTAACTCAATTAAAAAGACTTAGTACAATTATTTCCCTGTAACAACGAAACATTGTAAATGATCAATTGCAAACTTGTAATAAATTTTTTTTAAATAATATATATTTCATACAAATCTCAGGTAAAGTGTTAGAGTTGAAACATAAATGAAATTATTTTTCAAATACAGTTCAGTTTAATACAAATCTGCTGTTTGATGAGGTCGTCCTCAGTAGCGAAAGGATTAAATCGATTCCAGGCCGGATTGAAGAGGTCATGAAGATTCACTTTATTAGACGACGAAAGGAAACAAAAAAAAGAAAAAATTGATCGTTGAACAACGACGATCGCAGTATTCGTACAAAGTGCAGGCGGTGTATATACAAATATTTCTCATTCTTGATCTCTCGCATTCTTCCTCGTCATTCGAATCACCTTAACAATGGAAATATACGTCGGGAACGTAATCAAGGGATCCTTGAGTGAAACGGTCAATTATCACACAGAAATCATCGGCGTACTCTTCGTTCCTCTTCGGACGCAAACTCGAAACATATACAATTTATCGCCCCGTTAATTCGATCTAATATACAAATTTCTCGGAGAAAAATCAGACTGGCCAAATCGACACTCCGTTTAATTTTCAACTAGAATTTCTCAAGGAACCGACACAAAGATCGCTCGCTTACGTTTTTTTCTCTTCTCGTTCCCCCTCGATCTTACAGACTACTCACGCACTCGAAACTCTCACTCTCTAGCTTTTGTATAATTTCTCACTCACGCATACATCCCTCGGAGATGAAACAAAATCGTTTCTCTTCCCGTTCGAAGAATCGATGAATATTTCGTGTATAAATCCCTCATTAAGTCAACGGATATATCGGTTACAAAGCGACGTCGCAGAAAAATTATTAGCAATTCATTGGCACCTATTTCGAGCGAGCTTTCGTTGCTTGAGGTATTCGCGATGAAGAAACAGCGTTTCGGATTTGAACAGTACACTATTACTTCTAATTTGCTCTTTCCATACGGAATTTTGTGATAGGGTTCCAGTTTTAGGTACAGAAAAATGCGAAACCTGCTCAGGGAATATTACAGTCAATTTGAACGAAAGGGTAACTGCCTTCCACAAAATTTTATTGTGAAACTACATTTACTGTATGAGGTGATAAATTAATTTGTGACATTGTAAAACATGTCTATAATTTTGTGTAAAATTATATTTGCTGATATTGTAATAAGTATAGAAGTTTATGCCGATGTAACATTTGGTATGAAACTAAAATAATGGTGTCAATTGCAGATGGCAGACATTTTATGATCATGTGATTCTGATTTGAATCGACTTGTAACATACACAGGAGACATACTAATATTTTTGATAAATAACGCATAATTTGTTAAGTAACATATGCACATTTCTCCATTTTTGTAACAAATTTCATTTTGTCACAAATGTTCTCACATAAAGTGTAGACAATATCCACAACAAAAATAAATAAAAACACTTGAGTGATTAAAAGATCGACAGGCATGATTTTCATTCAACAATGTACATTTAACATTTACAAATTTGGACTTAAGTGTACTTTCAAACGCTGTAACACTGTTTCGACAAATTCTGCATATTCGCTTAAAATTAAAAATCCGTTTTGTCAGAAATTAGCGTGTTTATTAAATATACACATACGTATTCGGCAATTCTGAACAACTGTTTCGTATAAAAATCATTTGCAGAGCTTCTCGTGTATTTACATGGACCTAAGGTCGGTTGGTTCGACGCGCTAGTTGCTAATAATTTTTCTTCGAAAAACGCTTCGAAACGCGCGCTATTCCGCGGGAATATCTCGCGCATTCGTAAAATGATTGCGTTGTAAAAAAACAAAGATTGAATGGGATTCGTGTACCTAGGGGAGAAAATATTTACATACGATACTGGCAGTACATCTTCAGTTTCCTGTTTTGCCCTTCGCTAACCGGAAACGCGCGGAAGAACGGCTAATTAACACGTTACCTATCGCTCGTATCATGTAAACGTTTCTCTCTAATTAAATAATAAATTAAAGCTGAATTATGAACGTTGCAATTATTTTGTAATAATTGCATACTATTTCTGTAATAAATAAGTCCTTGCACGGATACAGGATCATTTTGACCCAATTATAAATAAAATACGTGAAATATAGGTAAATTGTAGACTTTAGGATTTTTTGAAATCAAATACGTTTTTACGTAATTTTAATAACACAAATATTTCAGGATAGAATTAAACACCCTGTATATGTCTTGTTGTATTTAAATACAATATTTACACGTGATTTCGGATTTGTACACCAAATCGTTACGGGTAAAAATGGCCCTGTGTCAGTCTCAAAGAATTCATAATTCGAGAATATGAATTCATTTTTAATTAACAGACATAGCAAATTTCTCAATTTGCTTCGTTGACAATTTGAACATTTTAACGGTATAACAAGATCTAATTTATTATATTTTCAGTCAATGAGCGACAGTGTAAGTTTATTAACCCTTGTTGAAATTGATATTCTAAATAAACCGTGAAACTTGTCAATTCTAAATCAATCAACGTGAAACTCTTTACCTAAAAATGAACCAAAACTAATCCAGGAGTATTAAGTAAAAAATGACAATTTCTTGACAAGAATGGTCCTAAAATTTTTGATTTTGAAACGTATTATTTTGAAAGGGTCAATAAACGAATCGGTAAAGTGTTAATTCGCGTTTCCTCGCGAAAAAGGGCTTTTCCTCGCTCGAACGAGCGATTATCCGCTTCTAGCGTCTACGCTGGCTTTGTACAGTGGATTGTGTTCGCAGCGGTTTTCAATGATTTCGTTCTTCCTCTGTCGCCTTCGAACCGCATGTGATTCCGCAATCCGAACCGAATCGATGAACACGAAACGGAGCTTCGTCGAATCTCGACAAACAACCTTTCATAATTTGACAATAATTAATAACAGAGTATCTCGTGTATTTGCAGAATAAATATACTTATAAATAAAAGTACCGATTAACGTTAACAATAAATGGCCTGCAAACATTTTAACGATGGTACACTTTGTAGGATCTGTTCCACAATTTTATACTAAATCTCTGATTCTTGCAATCTTTTAAATTTGATTTAAAACATTTTTGTTGTGTTGAGGTCATCATTTTTTGTCATGTTTTAACACAAATAAAAATGAGTCTTAATAGGATAGCGCATGAAATTATGTTATTTTATAACATAAAATGACCTGCGATTTTTCCAATTAATATGACCATGGAATTTGATGTAATTTATAAAAAATTGAAGAAGAGTTTCTGTTCTGAGAAAGTTGCAGCTCCTTTATCGATTCGGTCCAGATTGAGTAGACACCTCAGCGAAACCGGGTCGCCGTAATACGAAAAATAAATCGCATTCGTAGAGCTTACAAAGTATCGAGAATATAACAATAAAAAAGAAAGTACAGAAATCGTTTAACAATACGAGTGCGAGACGCCCGATTTGCATTAACTTGGTTAATACCTTTTACCGATGTTTACTAATCGTTCTCCTTTAACTTACTTAAACGATACATAATCACGGGGTTTTCACGATGCTGATCGAGACGGAGAGAACAAAATGGGGTCGTTTTTCTTATTCGTTGACGCTTCTTTGATACGCTTAGTCGCTGGCGAAAAAATAACAGCTTCTACGAAAACGACTTTCTTAGATTGTACTCGAGAGTTCGCCGTTTACAAATCGTTCGCGTGACAAGAGGACGAAAGAACGAAAAACAAATCACTAATAATATTACAATAATAATAATTAATAATAAAAGAAACTAAACGCACGTACGTTCGTTCGATTTCAATTCAATCGAAGTATCATAGCGCAGTATTGTCTAACGTTGTTTATTAAATTATAACTTAAAAGATGTTTGGCAGTGTATTCTCGTCCAATAATTACCTATTTACGTTCCTTTAGAGAGTAACATTGCCATTCGATGCCCTTTTCGACAAGAAACAATTCCTATTGAGTATCTTTCGTAAATTACTATTCGTATCCTCTCAATTAGCCACTGGTCATACATTTTTTATAAATAAAATTGTATTCCAATATTTTACACAATCATTTGTCGTGAAATAGCAAATTTTAGTAGGAAAATTATTCTAAATTTTTCTTTATAACATATATCGGATTGAAAGTACATATCACCTTAACGCCGCCATTTTGAATATTCGAACATTATACGTAAGTACAAGTACCAATACTTTGTTAAATTATTGAACACTGACAGCCTCGTGGGATCTTATATTGATGCTAAATAAAATTGATACCAATTACAAACTTAAATAATTTGGAATACTATTGACACGTTAATCGTCACAGTAACCCTGTATTCACTAATCCACTCAGTTTTTTAATACAACCACTGTCATTTCTGCTTATTTTTATTTATTGTAATTTAAAAATTAGTAATTTATAGAAGCACTACTTCTATCAATAATTACTAATAGATATTTGATGTTTATTCGGATGGTACTCCTGGCGTTATTATTTGTTTGAATACTGTTTTACCGAACCGGCAAACTCAACAAAATTTGCTTTACAAGCATTCCATATATGAGTGACACATTTTCAATCGAAATCCTTAGGACCCTTTTGAAATACTCGTATTTGTACGTAATAAATATTACAAAATAATAATATGTTCGAAACAAAAAATAACTAATGAAGCTTTAAATAGCTGTGGCAGTGAACTAATAGTGTGGCAGTAAACATATAAAAATTCAAGCTGTTACAAATTACATCAAGTTTCAAATAATTATGTTAACATCTTGTTACAATAGATTTAAATCGAAAACCTCCACAACCAGAAATGAAACTATAAACGTAGAGTTACTGACAATAAAAAATATGGTCGTTAAAGTGATAGTTCTATGTGTATAATCTTATAACATCCTTTAAAAAATCATATACTTCCAATAACTAATTGAAGGGATACTTCAGTTTACTGTAGCTTACAGGTTGAACTCTTCTCAATACTCACATATTTAACGTTAATTACTTTATACCTGAACAGTAATGGGCTACCCTTTGATAGTCAATTTCTCAATTTAAAAATGAAATTTCTACACCTCTAAATTTCCAAGTTTCTAAATCCGAGAATATATTCCTACACTTCTAAATATCGAAATTTTTGAACATTTTTAAATTAAAAGATTTTATATCCACTTATCAATTGACCCGCCCATCACTGCACTGGAACACATCTTTCGAAGACGATCAATTTAAAGAACGTTTCCTGGTGAACAAAGATAAACAAGAACAAAATAGCAACGTATAAACAGTATAATAAGAAGACTAAGCGACTGATTACTGTTTGGCAAAGATTCTTGTACACGTGATTCGATTCAAAGATTGCCATCGCTGACGCGTTGCTGAGCTATAAAGATCTCTCTAAAGGAGTCACAATGCGCAAAATGATCGTTACGTGTAAGTAGATTAAATAAATTAGCGCTTAAAAAAATACCTATCTTAGGTAAGTCTGTTTAAGCAATGAATGACTCACGGACTTCTTGCTTCCCGGTGTTAAGAGAACAAACTCGTACGATTCTCGTCTTACATTTTCGCTAATGGATGGAGAATTATGAAATGAAAGAATGGTACAAGTGAACATACTTTTCAATAGATCTCTGATACATGATTCTTCTTTCTGTTTATAATTTTTTTTTTGGTATCCGAAAGACATAAGTCGAGTTTACGCAACAAAAATGCCTCGATTTTTTCTTTTTATAAACTCTCAATTGGAGACAACGAGGAATATTTCTAATTTTCCTTCGGTCCGTCTACTGATTAGCTCTGACCACAAATTCTGTGCAGCATCATTATCCGAACGATCAAATTAACCCTTTTGGGATCGCGGACAAGATATCTCGATAAATTTTTGTTATTTATGCAACGATATGAACGAGAGTTTTAAATTTGAAAATTTAGGGATAGTAGCAAGACATCTTGTCCAAAGTTGCATAAACATTATAGCGAAATATCTCGTCGAACATCGCGAATGAGTTAAATAATTGTAATCATTTTAATAAATCTTGCTATTAACCGTGTGCGACTAATTTCCTGCTGCACACATTTTAATAATCAACAAGAACAATTCGCTACGAGTTCAAGATGATCTTCTGTCCGAAGAATCCGCGTCGAGAAACGTACAAAGTTGTCGTCACATCTTTGCACAGATAACTTTGGCCAATCACTTACGTGTTCAGCTTTCGTGGTTCATTAAACGTTAAGTTGTACGAAATAGATGTGTGTGTATGTGTGTGTACATGAGTGTGTATTCCCTTAGTCTTGTATAATAATGAGCAATGCTAGAACTGTATCTTAATCGTCTCGTACCGTTGAAATTCGTTATATATAAATGCTTACGACCACCTGTTTTCCCGATGTTAACGATTCAAGCGTCAAATATACAAAAGACGAAACGGTGCATGGCAGTAATGATCACATGTAATTTTTATTGATATTGTCACGAGCAACACGAAGATACGACGGGAACAGTACAAGACGATGAAGTTACAGAAGCAGATGTCTATCTCTACGATTGTATTGAAAAATAACCTTTGCACCATGTCTGCTCTTTGTTTTCATTTGTTTTTTTTTTTCCTTTTCTTACTCTGCTTTACTCTGTAAAACACTAAGCACTAACACGTTCGCTAGCACGTTAGCTCAAGTGAGAGGAACAACTGTCAATTTCAATTCGCTTTTTTTCTTCTCTCGTCGTGATCATGGTCTACTCCGCAGCTCATAAGGAGCGATTGGCCAATCTCTAATGAATGTAAAACCGGCGCAAACGAGTTCCTTTTTCTTTTTCGTTCTTCCTTTGCATTTGATTCGTCTTACATTCATCGATTTTTCTGCGAAACCTACTATGCTACAATATTTACACTTCATAAGCAATGTACCTGATTGTTCTTGTAAATGCGTTTCCTTTACGCGTGCGCTACTAGCTGCTTCCGTAGTAAAATAGTTGTACAAACGTTAATTGAATTTGATGCATCGAGGGTACTCGTGGACGGTACATTTTGAATGTTGAAAAGAAATCGTGGAAAGTTGCTTTCTGACGTGCGGAATGAAACGAACCGGTTACTCGAAAATGAAAAGGCGGCAAAACAAATTCATTGTCCAGCAATGAAGTTTGTTACGGTTATTGGAACACGGTGTTTTCGTACGAATATCACTTTCTCAACGAATGAAACAAAATTACATTTGCAAGAACAGTCGTACATCGTACACCAATTAATACATACTTATCATATAAAACATATGTAACGAATGGCAGTGCATGTGACACGTATCAATTTGTCACTAAGTCGTTCGTTTGAAACACCGAGGTTCAAAAACAAAGAAGGAAATAATAATAATATATAAAGAAGAAAATATTAGCAGTCAAATGCTGTTTTTGCTCGATGCCAACGAAAATATTGTATACGTTTGCAATGAGTTTCTTCTGATCATAAACGGATTCATTGTTAAGTATTAAGTCCCTCCCACTCGATTAGGTATTGAGTCTGACCGTTCGGTCCTATCCTCTTAGCTCTGATGACAAACTTTTCACCGGCGGCGATCCTGTTCGCCGCTCCGAAATATATGTTCACCGATGATTTTAAATCATCTATGGATATGTCGGGTGCACTTTGTTTTACGGGCGAACACTTGGGAGATGTGGGTACGCTACCTTTCTTTTGTGCTTGCAAATCCGGAGGCGGTAATTTATCATTGCTCTGACGTTGTCTCAGTCTCCTCCCATTTAAGGCATAATCAACACAATTTCCAATTTGACTACTAGCACTGCTTGAGGCACCGTTAAATGAACTTCTTAAATTCCTTGCAAACTCACTTTTAACTTCGTTATTACGCGCTGGTAAAATGGTCGCCGTCTTACTAGCAGTATGCTGGTACTGCTGTTGTAATTGCTGTTGCGATGGACGGCCTCTCCGATGTTGTCGCCTACGTTTTACCTGCCCGTTTCTGTCTATGATAATGTCTTTCTCCGACAACTGCCTTTTAGCGGGCCGTATTACCGGCGGTTGAGATATAACAGGTGTAAGTGGTAGAGGTAATGTGATTGGGCATTGATTGTACGGTGATGGAGTACTTAAATTCGACTGATTGAGATTTCCGGGTGTACCCAATAGATCACTGAGATTTCTGAAAGGATTATTCTTGCCTTCGAAGTCTTTGGGCGGTGGAATAAAAGAATCCAACGTTCCTCTCGAACTGGTTTCATCCCCACTTGTGTCGGCGGGCGTCGACGGCGGTAAAGGATGCATCAGTTCCACGGAACTAGGCACTGATAGTTCAGATATACCTGACGTTGTGGCAGGCGGCGTAGGAGGACCGGAAACTGAAGTTGGAGGCGTTGGCGGTAGGTCAGACGTTTCCGAGTTTCGAGACTTACTCTGCGAAATGTAATCGAGAATCGGATTATATTACGCTTACGTGAACGTGGTACAACGTGTTGCAGTATTTTTATCACATGGTACCTTTGCTATAGCGTTCTTCAGTAGTTTCCTGGCTTTCCTGTATCTAGCTTCTCGAACACCTTGAGCCTTGCTTAAAGGACCGTCACCTTTTTCTCTCTTCTTATGTTTTCGTAACATTCTTTCGCGAGAACTACCTAATGCCATTAAGCGTCTTCTTCTTTGTAAGCTGAGTTTGGGGAACGGGAATGATTTCTTTACAAAACCACCGCCACTGTACCTGCAATCGATCAGGAATAAGGATATAGAAAAAAGTTAGTTTCGCGAAACAGGTTTCACGACATAAAATATTGGTTTACCTTTCTCTCAAAGATTGCGTAGATTGACTTGGTGGGCTTGGACTTGGACATGAACTTTGTTCTGCCTCTGAATTCTGATAAATTGTTCCACGCATTACTACGTCTGATGGATTTACGGGAATTTCTAAATTCTCTGCAGTCCCTTGTTTTAGCGCGGTTAATTGTTTTGTACTTTCTGGTAAAGATATCGGCCTGAAACAATACGACTTCTTTCTAACGCTCGAACTTACTAATAGTTGCAGTGTAAATATTAGTATTGCTGATACATGTTTGATTAATATTTTAGTAACTAACCCTGTAGGTGGAGGAAGATATTGCAGTCTCTTATTAGCCCCCCAGCATCTACGTAATACGGAATCATCTATTACACCAGTTACTGGAAGATGTACAATTGGACATGGTGGTGGTAACCTAACTCTAAGACCCCATATCGTAGTACGTTTCTTTATTTCTCTGCCACACTTGAACCTGTTTCTATTATTTGTCAATATTGCTAGTATAGATTCTCTGCGTATTTGAGCACTGACATCCCTGATCTAACAATAATAAATACATATGCATACTTGTAGAAAATCTAATTTATAGACCTTTTAAAAAATAAATATTTTTTAATTCACATTTAGAAAATTCAATAGAAATCCTTACCCGTGGTGGAAGCTGTAAAGTATTCCAGTTATCATTGGCATAAGGTATAATAACAGTGTCCAAATCATAATACTTTTTAGCATTGTAAACAGTTAGATTGTACAACATCAGGTGCACCAGATCTATCCATTTTAATTCTAGTCGCCGTACGAATTCTTTACCATAATTGCACATTGAACAAACAAATACATAAAACCTGTAAATATTAACAATTATGAAGTACACCTTGAAATTGATGACACTTTAAATTTATCAATTTATTTTTTCCCTACCTGTCTCCACTGTATAAAGGATAAGTTAAACAACTGACACATTTTTCATGAAACCATTGCTTGCAACGAGCACATTGCAACATTTGTGTATACCATTCACCATTTAATCCACAATAACAATAAATTTGTTCAGCATTTACTCTATGATGTGAATCCCAATTTAACATATTAGGCTGTAATAAACAATGTTTATGTTACTTCTCTTAGATGTCCAATATATTTATTGGTAAAATAAAACTCTTAACATGAGACACTTACATCATACGGCAACTTTGTCATGTCATCTGGTGGCGGCTGAGGTTGGTCCCTACCACTGCAAACTTTTCTGATACTTGCCTTTACCATAGAAGTTTTTGGTTCTATCACTTCACGTGGCCGTGGTTGACTATCTACACATCTTTTACACATCCAATGTGCTTCAGCTGCTGTTTCTTCTTTTGATATTTGGGGCTAGAAGTATATATTTTGAGTTTACGTATTTTATTTCATTCCAAAAAAATTAGTTAAAAATGAAGGAATATTTTCATAAACAAAATTAAATTTTATTACCTGATGACAAAGTTGATGATAACCACGACCACACTTGTCACAAACAATAATGTCATTATCAGTCTTGGGCTGAGATGTTTTACAAACAACACACATAACATCGGAATCCGGTATTGACAACTTTGTCAGCTCCTTAACTGAAGACCATGCTGAGGTGTTGTCCATAAATTTGACAAGGCATTTTTCCCTTGCCAAATCCACCTATATGCATGTATATACAAATAATATTTAGTATGTTAAAAAGCTACCGTATTCAAATTAACAATCTCATAGTTAGAAATTGAAAGGATGCAAGTAATTTTAGAAAATATTATACAAATGCACCTCAACAATTGTTCCAAGGTAAAATTTGCCATCCTTATGTTGCAGAAAAACATCATCTCCATGAGAGAAACCCAACTTTTGTTCCCTCGTAGTGCTATCCGGCGCTGCCAGACTTTCTTCTGGCTCTGACATTTTCTACCCTGTTTCTATAATCCGATAAAACAATAACACATACAGATTAATACACACATGGTTTACATTAAAAGTAAATGTAAACAATATAAAATTAAATACCATTTTTTTACTTGAGCTATTAAAAATACAGCTTCACTGTTTTTAAAAGATATTTTATGTAAAAAAACATCAATTTCTAAATGATCTAATATCAATTTCCATCTACATAAAAAGAAATTATAGAAAATTATAGTTTAACATTATAAACTTATTATACTTTGAAACTAAATAATAAGTATTAATAAGTAAGATATAAATTCATTACAACTATCTCACACATTTAGGATAAATTATCAATTAATTATAAAGCATATATTAACAATTAGATTTTTATGAAATAATGTGCATTTTAACAAGCAACACAGTACATATTCTGTGAAAGTAATAACTGCATCAAGGATAAATATTTTCATCCCAAGATCATGTTAGTAGAATAATTTGTATGAAAAATGTTCATTGAAATCCGAAAGGAAAGCAAATCTTACATGCACGTACACATAATGCTTGGTCCACGCAAATGTGTAAAATAGATGGTCGTCCGCCGAAATCATTCATTTACATCCATTACAAGCGGCGAAAAGTACGTTACAAGAATCGAAAAAGTATCGCGAAAACCTGCGAAACAAATAACGACCATATGATCGATATCTCGTTGAAAAATCAATTTGTGCATTTTTCATTCTCGTTGACGAGAAAACCTACAAAAGCTGATTTGGACAAAACGAAATGTCACGAACGAGCGGGAAGATGTATAGGATAGATGTACAGTTTATGGCCATTTTAAGGATTCCATAGTACACAGGAAATCAAAATTTTATAGGCTGAATAATTTTTAAACATAATTGTTTAAAACATTATACCATCAGGCAGAGCTTTTTCATATTATTTATAGTTATAACAGTATCAATTTTGACCACTTAGTTATCCATTTGTGACCACCTGTAAAATTGTTAATATGCCCACAATGAGAAATATAATACTTGCAAATGAATTACAAATGATTATTACTTTGTCAATGTTCCAATAGCCTATGGAGTATAGAGATTCGTATTCTGTTAGATACATGATCTATATATGGTCGATATACCATACATGCATAAACACACATAGTCTAGTTTTTGCTAACAAATAATAAAATATTTATTATATAAACCTAGTATCAATTGGCTATATTTATATTATATTTAAAAATTTGTTAACATTGGCAATTATATATGCTATGAATCTTCTGAACAACCTGCTATTTGTAGTCATCAAATGGCACAGTTACATTTCTGATCTGTCATGTTTTTCAATGCATAAAAATCATGATAAAAACTTGTTGAACTCTTTATCTTATTATGAAAGGAAAAAGATAATAGACTAATATACAACAGTTTGTGATTTCATAAATCTAAAATAAAAAAGTACCTACTAGCCAATAAAACACTTGACAAAACATGAAAGAAAATAGCGACTAAAAGTGTGCTGGATTATCGAGTTACCCTGGATTGTCATTGTAGAATTAAATGTTTTCAAGAGATTTGTTTAGTGACTGTCCTTTCATTGGAAAAATGTAATACTAATCTTTCTTCCTTGAACACCTAATTCTTTGACATTTAATTTTTCTACATTGAGACTACTTTTTTCATTTAATATAATATAATTTGATAGTTTTATAAGTACTAATACAAAAGGCTAAAATCTTAATTTATTTATAATAAACAGTAACTATTCCTTTCCATAGACTCTTAAATTATCTTAATTAACTATATCCTATTTTGAAAAACATTTCATATGCACTACCCAATGTATTTTAGGTTATATCATCAAAATTCTTACAGAAATCATAAAAATATTTGTTACATAAAATAAATACACACAAACTTGGCCTATGCTCTTGTCAAATACAATAAACAGTTATTTCCGTACCAGTCGTATACCAAGCATTGTTTGCAAGGATGTAGAAGTTATCAGAAGTTAACACCTTCGCGTACGATTATTAAATTAAACAGTAAAATAGAAAATTAAAACGTAACAGGCAACGGTGCTTTCGTAACCCACAATTACGGAGGTTTTATTCATTCTGACGAAACTAACTTAGGAATACTTGATATATCGGAATAATCGAGACAATGGCCACAAATGGTGCAGTGGGTACAAACGGTACATCTACCCTATTTCCGAACGCTCAACCATCGATGACAAGTATCCAACTGAAATGAAATTGATCACTGATCGACGGAATACGAGCCCTAAAATTGATCACAACTGACGAAGACACTGGGCGATACGGTGGATAGGAGCAACCCCCGGAACAGCTCGTAGCACCGGGCGGTGCTTGGGACCCGGTGGTGGTGTTTTCAGGATAGAAGACCGCGCGAATATCGTTCGATCTTCGAACACCTTCTTATATCGTACCTCAGCGTCTTAGCCGTGGAATCACGCGCGACGTTCGGGCCTCATTTTCCGATTCCCGTCAGCCATTTACAACCATGGGGGCCCCGCTACGGTCCGTCGCTCCGAGACACACAATCGCGGCGCGGTAAAACCCTATCCCCTGAAGTCAGCACGGCGACACGCCGGCACGCATGTAACCGTAACGATCACGGTGGCGCCCGGGTATCCACGTCGGCCACCCTCAGGATCACCACACGCCCTTAGTCACGGACATCACCGCGGCAAATTCGGTGCACTCTCATTGTGTCCCTTGAAAATTCGAATAAGCACCGTCCGCCATGTTCGGGGAAACACTTGCTAGCGACTACGCTAGTCAACTAACCTACCGCGGTGCCAGTGCTCCCCGTAGGGATGTCTAACGAAACAGGGATGCCCTCTTATATTGCGCTTACTATTCTATAATCTGTTCAACCAAAGACTATACTCATCGGACGATGAGTTTTCATTTGTTCTGCGCAGTTCAATTCTTATTGGTTCGAATGCGTTTCGTAACCAATAGCAACGCGTTTGCGCGTTAGAAACCCTCGTGACACTAGACTTATATAACGCATGATCTTTTATTTTGTATACTCTTTATATGAGAAATAGCCATAGTCATATATGCGGATATTAAATTTTGAAATAGAACTGAAGAATTTTAATAGTAAAAAGTTTGACCGTAACCAAATGTACCTTGCAAAGCTTCATTTATATCACATTTTCTCCCTATTCATATACTTTTGTCTACCTTGTATATTGCCGATGGAGTGAAAAGCGTATGGAAGTATGGCAATGATAACAAGTGGGGAACCTACTGAAGTTAGTTGCGTTGCGCAAATTGAGTATGATCTCTTGATGAACGAAGTATAGCTAAAAAGTATAATATTCTTAGGATTTGCAAAGTGTTAGGAATAATTTTTTAGTATTTTTAACAATGCATTTTTAATTATATTCCATAGAAACGTTGTCATCTTAAATACTTTCTAATTGTAAGATATGATAAGAGTCATACAAAATTTTCCCATACAATAACGTTTCCAATTTTTTTGAATATTTTATTTTGAAGGAATAGTTAGTAGGAGAAGTTGTATGGACATGCTACACATTTTGTAAATTATTTACAGTTTATCATGTTTTGGTTCATATAGAAAATTATTGAGATAACATAGTAAAGGGCACTAGTGTCTTAATATACGGCCATGGTTGTTAGTTGGACCGCCTATTGTGGTGCAAGCATAATATAAACAATCAATGGCAATATAGTTAGAGATTCGTTTATAGTATGACAATTATAAATAATTATGTCAATTATTTAAAATATAATTAGTTTTAATCTTCGTTTTGTATTTCATAATTGAAAATTCTTCAACAATTAGAGCGGTGTACCTTCCATACACAAGATTCTCGTCGTCTGTACCCTAGGCATGCATAAGTTTTGCTACATTTTAAACAGACGTCGGCCACCCTCAGGATCACCACACGCCCTTAGTCACGGACATCACCGCGGCAAATTCGGTGCACTCTCATTGTGTCCCTTGAAAATTCGAATAAGCACCGTCCGCCATGTTCGGGGAAACACTTGCTAGCGACTACGCTAGTCAACTAACCTACCGCGGTGCCAGTGCTCCCCGTAGGGATGTCTAACGAAACAGGGATGCCCTCTTATATTGCGCTTACTATTCTATAATCTGTTCAACCAAAGACTATACTCATCGGACGATGAGTTTTCATTTGTTCTGCGCAGTTCAATTCTTATTGGTTCGAATGCGTTTCGTAACCAATAGCAACGCGTTTGCGCGTTAGAAACCCTCGTGACACTAGACTTATATAACGCATGATCTTTTATTTTGTATACTCTTTATATGAGAAATAGCCATAGTCATATATGCGGATATTAAATTTTGAAATAGAACTGAAGAATTTTAATAGTAAAAAGTTTGACCGTAACCAAATGTACCTTGCAAAGCTTCATTTATATCACATTTTCTCCCTATTCATATACTTTTGTCTACCTTGTATATTGCCGATGGAGTGAAAAGCGTATGGAAGTATGGCAATGATAACAAGTGGGGAACCTACTGAAGTTAGTTGCGTTGCGCAAATTGAGTATGATCTCTTGATGAACGAAGTATAGCTAAAAAGTATAATATTCTTAGGATTTGCAAAGTGTTAGGAATAATTTTTTAGTATTTTTAACAATGCATTTTTAATTATATTCCATAGAAACGTTGTCATCTTAAATACTTTCTAATTGTAAGATATGATAAGAGTCATACAAAATTTTCCCATACAATAACGTTTCCAATTTTTTTGAATATTTTATTTTGAAGGAATAGTTAGTAGGAGAAGTTGTATGGACATGCTACACATTTTGTAAATTATTTACAGTTTATCATGTTTTGGTTCATATAGAAAATTATTGAGATAACATAGTAAAGGGCACTAGTGTCTTAATATACGGCCATGGTTGTTAGTTGGACCGCCTATTGTGGTGCAAGCATAATATAAACAATCAATGGCAATATAGTTAGAGATTCGTTTATAGTATGACAATTATAAATAATTATGTCAATTATTTAAAATATAATTAGTTTTAATCTTCGTTTTGTATTTCATAATTGAAAATTCTTCAACAATTAGAGCGGTGTACCTTCCATACACAAGATTCTCGTCGTCTGTACCCTAGGCATGCATAAGTTTTGCTACATTTTAAACAGACTGAAACAATCCCTCAACTATGACAAAAGAAAGCGTTATGGTCGAATATAATGAATTGCTTAATGAATATTGCCCCCATGTATTAAATCTGATCATATTAATTTTGTAAAATTATAATTAAATTTAATTTCCATGATTAATTTGCAAAGAAAATGCAAATCTGGTAATCGCTTAAAGAGCGATCTTGTACGATACTATTTTATAAACGATAATTTTTAATAATATAACCTTTACGGATTATGTAAAATACAGTTACGTAGATTATTGGTTATTTACTTATTAAACAATAGTTAGATATCGAACACGCTCTAAAATTAGCTGTAATTGTGCAGTCGGCAAAAGAGTAGAATACAAATTTCTTATGCCTAATGAAGTAATACTTAAGCTACTCACGTAGTTACAAGTGAAGGGTTGCTAACTTGGAAGTTGAAGTATGCAATTTTTTTACCGTTCGCAACTCACCTGTCGATTTTTTTTTATTTAATTTCTGTAGCTCTTCCTATTGAGAAAGCAAAGGCCACATACGCCATTTTGGGATGCAAAATATCATTTGTTTTTCAATTGTAACGTTAAATAATTTTACAATATATGACAGTTGGGAGTGCAGGTTCAAAAATGATTTTATATTTCAGAATCGTGCGGCAATAAATAAAACCAATATCAATTTATAACAGCATAATTCAGTATTGCATGAAACAATTTTTATGTAATTGTAACAAACGATTGAAAGGCGATTTTAATTTATAAAATGTATTTTAACGTAAATGAAGGTAAGCAACAACGTGTAAATTTTATGAAATTTTGATCTTTTGATTTTACTTATTAAAATCTGATTTAAAATTTGTTGAATAAATTTCTTAATATTGGTCTGTCAATACAACGATGGTACATAGTATAACGAAAACAAAACATATGTTAAATCGGGAGATAAGGTCAAAGTAGGGTTAGGTTAGGTCGTTGTATATTTATGTTACAGTTAGGTTGGGTCATTACAAGGTTAAGCTAGGATTATGTCAAGGCCTTTTTATGAAATGTATTTTATTTACACTCCTCATTTGTACATTGTAATTGTGCATAGAAACATTGTTGATAAGAATCGTACTGCAACACAGAATACAAAGTATTATATTGCAAAATGTTTAACAAAAACTACGTAATCTTTTATATCACTTGGATACTATTCAAAACACTAATTATTACAATTAAGACTTTATTTTTTGAAGTATGTTATCACAAATATCGAGTAATTACTCGAACACAATGCGGCATGATAGTTATAAAATATTTGTGTAATGCTATAGTTAACAATATGATTTATACAATAGTACACAGAAAAATATATTAAAACATCTTTTTCTTTACCGCAGTGTACCTTTCCATGTAAGTGTCATAACCATCTAAATCGGCAAACTGTTTCATCTCGAATAAATTTCCTTCGACAGAAAGAACAGAAATTTTCGAATCTTTCAAAATTTTGCTGGGTATCGCGACTAACTGTAAACAATTTTCTTCGAGCCTCAGTGTTTTTAGGCGCGAACAGTTTGCTAGTTTCTCCGAGATGGTAGATACTTGATTCTGATTAAGGTTAAGTTCAACCACATGTAACGATGCAGCCGCGTCAGGAATCGTCGTGATTCGATTTTTGGACAGGTCCAGCACATCCAGGAAATTTAAATAACAAAACATAGTGGGGAATTCGGTGATCTGGTTGTCAGATAGGTTGACGTGTTTTAAGCGCGTCAATTTCGATACAGACCATGGTATACTTCTAATCTGATTCGAACTCGCGTATAAACCCTCCAATTTTGTTAGTTTTCCGAGAGCTTCTGGTAAAGCAATCAATTTATTATGACTGATATTCAACTGCTTCAGCAAAGTAAAATTACCGATGTCGTCGGGAATACGAGTAAACTTGTTCTCGGAGAGATCCAGAGTGCGTAGCAGTGGCGCTAAGGCACGTAGATCATGTGGAAATTCGTCGAGTTTTCTTTGCGATAATTTTAACGTACCAGTCTTTTTCGCGGTTTCGTAATGCTGTCTTAAACCGGAGCTCCCCATCTTAAGTTTTTAACTTAAATTCTTATTTTTATTTTTGGTATCTTATTATTACAAGTAATAATCCTTATTTGATAGCATTTGAAAGGCATGAACAAAAAAAAGATATTTTTTGTCCAACACTTTATTTGTCGAAAATATTTCAATTCCTATGGGATTCGCGTTGATTATACATTCCGCTCCATTGTTTGGTACTCACTTATCTTTGGTACGTTTATCGTAGCGATATTAAATTACTTTTTGTTACAGATTGTACTCAATCGTGGGTTCGTTGAATTTTGTGCGGTACTGTACCGGCGTGTCGAGGAAGACTGCCGTTGCGCCGCCACTTAGATTAGTTTCAGCACGGCGATGCTTGTAATCTCAATTAATGCAACGAGCTGATCAGTGTCGTAATTTTTTGCACTTATACGCACGTGGTCTTGGAATATGTTTCGCTGGCAAAGGTCGGTCGTTCGGCGTCGTCGATGAAAATTCAATGAAATGTCAACCGAATGACAGTTCGTCGGCCATATTGGCCTAATGGCTGTGTATAGTGGACCTAGGAATATAGCGAGCGTTGAGTAAAGGGGGGAAACTTTGCGGGATGAGGCGGTGAGGTAAACTGATGCCCAATTTTGATTGGTTGTTGTTCAATGTAGCACCAAATTAAAAAATTGAAAATTCTAAATATTAGAAACTGATTACTGAGGCATGTTGTGTGTATGATACGGTTTACACTATAATTTTTATAGCACTGTATTTAAAAATTGTATGACTTTCGAATTTCTAAATAAATAGTTGAAACTTTGGAAGTCTGATAAATAAATTTTGAAATTATTTAATTTCTAAGTTTGTTAATTTATAAATTTTAAATTTCTGAATTTTTGACTTTGAACATTTATAGATTTACAAATTTGCAAGTTTGAACATTTTTTAATTTTTCAAATAATGTATAAAAAGATAGGCACTTACTTGCCCTCGAATAAGAAGTCTGTATTAATCCGCGATTTTTGGTTTTTCATAATTGGCGGTACAGAACATGTGCGGAAAAGCAACCAATGAAACTTGGGCATCTGTTGATGTATCCCCCCTTTCGTGTCGGCTTCTCACTCCTTGTCCACAACCGTGGCTGACAATACATCGCTATATTCCCTAAGTTCGTGCCGTGTACGAATCTCGGCCGCGTGATGGCGGTCCTGGCGCTCGCGCCTCGAAAGATGGCTGACAAACGAAGATGTAGCGGTGCACGTCGGGTTTACATCAGACTGAAAACGCCGCGGCAACCACTGGTGTGTAGTTTACGATGCGGTCATTCGCGGAAATGGTGAGATAGTGTTGTGGTTCGAGAGGACATACTACCGGGTAGCGATGGCCTCCACGCCGAAGTCGGAGAAGCATGCAGGTAAGTGATACTTGCGCTATGACCTATACGCTGAAAACGAACGTACGATGTTCCATAACAACGGCGAACCCGGCCGCCTTCATCGTTCCTTTTTTCTTTCATCTTGTCAGTCAAGTTTTTATTCGCTCGCGAGACGAACGTCACCGAGCGAGGAAGTTCTTAAACTTTCGTTTCATTCGATCGAGTATCGCGGCAACGAAAAATGTTAACGGGAGCGGATCATTCGCTGACGCTACCGGACGCGAAACGTCAAAAGCATATGCGTGTGTCCCGAAGCACGCCTCTTCTATCGTGTCTCTTTCTACCCTTCTTCTTCACCGTACATTGTGTATCGTAGATACGGATACTTGTCTCGTACTTGCAAAGATGTATAATGTACCTTTCGACAAACATTACGCTCGAATACCAATCAGCCGATAACCGCTCGGTAAATCAGCGCAGCTTCTCTCGTTCGATTCATCGAGATCACAAAGCGGTCCGCGCGTCCTTTCAATTTTCGAAATTACAATTCTCGAAGTTACAATTTTCTGTCAGGAATTTTTATTTTGTTCAAAGAAACTTTGTATATTTACAAAAATTTTATGTGTCAAATGTTCGATTTTTTTGGAAAAATCGATTCGAGAATTGATTGTAAATCGAATCATGGCAGCCATTTTCCTCATAAAATCGAAATAAGGATATAAATAAAATATGATATTTGTCCGTAAAGGAAGTTTTATGAACTATCTTATTTGTTTTATATTTTATTTAATAGCGTTTTATCGTCTTTTAAAATGGATTAGCAAATGAAGTTTCATTTATAATATTAACGTCGTCTTTGATGACAGTCTTTAAGGATTAACGATCACATTTACGAGCTTTGAATGTCTTATAGATTAGAAAAATTATAATGGAGATTTTAGTGTTATCGTTATATTATCGTATTCAAAGATGATTTTCATATTTATGGTACCAGTGATTTCCGAAAGAAAAATGTAATTAAAGACAGACTTTTCGCAGTTCACGGATTCTTAGATTCATTCTGATGATTTAGCAATTGTCTTTGAAAAACGGACCATACATTTTGTAGAGAATGCACGTCGTAATAATACATGGTCGCCTGGAGAGTGTGTCAATAAACCGTCCACGCGCCAGGGGCGAGCCCAATGTAATTCGAACAGCTGCCCGCGTCACGAGTTTTCTAGCCCGCGTTCGCACCCCTCAAACAAAGAGTTACCCCCCTCTTCTTATGGTCGACACGATAGTATTTTCATGGCGATGAATGCTCAAAACAGCGAAATATTTACTTTTCTCAAATTTCTGAATCCCATACATTTTCTTTAATAGACATAACTGCACCCCTTGAAACGGTGTATAATTTTAAATATTAAAAAAAAAAACGTTAAAGATTTATGTAGGTGAGTTAAAGTACATGTATATGTAATAGCTGTATATTTAATATTACATATACACATACAAAATTAATAAAACTTATTTGATATTTTTCTGAATTACATGTATATGTAATATTAAATATACAGCTATTACATATACATGTAATATCAAAAAAATAACAAATAAGTTTTTCGTTTATTAATTTTAATTTAGGTAAATTTAAAGTAGTTTACATAAACATTTTCAGTTTTAATACGATTAAAAAATTGTATCATCAAATGTAAAGTGTATTCTAATATGATTATTAGAAGTAATAAGAAAAAGGGAATATGTGATCGAATTATTGATTTATCTTTATGGGGAAGATAAAGGAGTTTTGGAAATAATTATCGTGATCGTTATCTGTAATTGACAAGAAATACTTAAAATCACGTGGTTAGTTGTGGTCATCGCGGTTTTATTTGGACATTGTACAATAACAGGTGCAACTTATCAGAACCGATACGTTCGAGCTAGCAGCAGAGCTGCTGATGGACAGACACGCTTAAGTAAAGGCAGTTTGATCAATTTGTCGGATAACGAGTAGCAACTAACTCGCTACCCTACGTCATATGTCGGTGGGTAATTGCGTTTAATGCGAGTTGATTTGTTGTTGGTTGAAATCATAGCGTGTTATGGCTGCTGACTCTGAAAAATAGATCCGTTAATATCAACCCTTTCATTGCGAAGTCGTACGATAATCATCAGTGCTGAGTAACAATGAGATACTAATTATTTTCTTCGAGGAAATTTCTTGTTGTGGAATTTTTTTTAGGTTTGGAAATTTGGAGTTTTAGATCTTTAGAGGTTTGATGGTTTGGAAATTTTTGGATTTGGGGGGTTGGAATTTTTTAATTTTGGGACTTTGGAATTTTTTAAATTTAGAGTTTTGGAAGTTTAGAATTTTAGGAGCTTGAGAGTTTGAGAATTTTGGGAATTTGGAATTTTTTAAATTTAGAGTTTTAGAAGTTTAGAATTTTAGGGGCTTGAGAGTTTGGGCATTTTTTAACTTTGGGACTTTGTAATTTTGGGACTTTGGAATATTTTAAATTTAGAGTTTTAGAAGTTTGGAATTTTAGGGGCTTGAGAGTTTGGGCATTTTTTAACTTTGGGACTTGGTAATTTTGGAAATTTAGAGTTTTAGAAATTTAGAATTTTAGGGGCTTGAGAGTTTGGGGATTTTTTAATTTAATTTTGGGACTTTGGAATTTTGGAAATTTAGGGTTTTAGAGGTTCAGAATTTTAAGATCTCAAGAATTCTATAATATAGAATTCTAAAGTTTTGAAGCTTAGATATATTTTAAACTTTAATCCTTCAAAATTCTGAAACTTCGCTAGCTCCTACAAAACCGTACAACTCCAAGATCACTTAATAAATCTACTTTTAACCTTCATTACATATTAAAAGAAATAGAACTCCTTTTTATAAGTACCCTTTCCAATTAATTCTTTCATTGCTTTTTCGTTCGCATTGCCCTTTTCTTAAATCATTTGAATATCTTCGAATTATATTCGACTGAATGGGAGTATGGGGTGAAGTACGTCGGTAATTAAACTGTTAATTGCGCTGCTCAAAGTAATTAAGGAAGAACGGGAAATTGCATTGCTGTATAATTCAAGAGTGTGATTAATAATCATTTGCAATTAATCGTAAGTTGGATTTAATAATTGGCTAATGTCACGCTTATTGCCGGATAGAGAACAAATATTTTAAATGGCGCCTGCTAAATAATAGAAGAAAATTCTCAGACGAGAACTCACAGAAATTAACACTAAACCTGCTTACTCCGAAATTAAAAATGGAGTTGAAAAATAAATAAGCCAATGATAAAACATAAATTAATGTACTTTTCCGACGTATTGTGTATTAGTTCATCTTCATGAAGATTAGCAAAGATTTTAAAGAAATTATCTTAATAAATTTTGTAAGTAAAAATGGAGAACTTGTAAAAGGGTCATTTAACCTTTCTTGTAAGTAGGAAAAGGAGATTAGCCTACATATTTTTGAAACTAAAATAACAAGTATCCAGGAAATGTGTTCTCAAGAGGAAGAGCTTATATTTTACATGTTAGAAGCTTACAAGCTTGTTTACGTTTACTCACACACGTGTAAACAGTTAATGAGAGACTTTAAAAGGGACATTTTCATACGAGAGTCTTTAGGAGATATAAGTGATTTATGTATGGTGATTATTTATGCATGGAGGGGTTTATATAAGCAACGTTGCACGTAACTTTATTAAAAAGTTGTTGTGGCTCTTAACTCATTAACTGGCGACTGTTTTTGTTAGGTTTCGTTTGCATATTTTCGTACTTTCTTATTTTCGAGGTACGAACTGTATCAAATTATCGAGTTATTTCAGTATCAAGTCTTTAAAGTATCAAATTATCATATTATTAAATTACCAAATTATTAAGGTACTAAATTATCAAGTTTCCAAATTATCAAATTTCCACATTTCCAAATTTCCAAATTACCAAATTTCCAAATCACCAAATTACCAGTTTACCAAATTACCAGTTTACCCAATTACCAGTTCACCAAATTACCAAATTACCAAATTATCAAATTACCAAATTACTAAAGTACCAAAGTACCAAATTACCAAATTACCAAATCACCAAATTTTCAAATATTTTTTCAATTCTTATATTACTAATTTTCCACAGTCTTCAATTCCTAAATTCACCAATTTCCAAATTCCCCAATTCTCAAATTTCCATATCCTTAAATCCCCAAATCCCAAAGTCCTCAAATTCTGCTTCTGAATTTCTCACCCACCTCTAAGTTTTCCCCAAATTAACCCATTTCCAAGTGCTGAGTATCATCATAAATCCTCTCCCACATCAGAAATTTGTACCTAAAATTTTAACAAAGAATCACAGAAGTTCCATGAATCTGAAAAATGATTTAATTTCAAGTAACCTACCGAGCGATTAAGCGCTCAACCACGGTTTAAAAAACGACACAGAAATGAATTCTCGTAGAAAGTTTTTTTCATTCCCCCGTTATACCAGACCCCCATGACCATCAACGAGTCACGTTTCTCCTGTACACGCGATCACGTACATAAAAGTACCTAGTCTCGAATGTTTTCTCTCCAGGACCACGTGTATACCAGCAAACAAAGTTTGCTTCAAACTCAGTCAGTCATTGATTAAATCTGAAAAGCAACCATCGAAGTTACGACTCGAACAGTATTGCCACCGCTGGGATATCGATGAGAAGAACGTTGCAAAAGCAAAACCAACTCGACATCAATTTTTATTCCGTAGACAACGTGTGCTTTTAACGAAACACGTATAAATAGAGTGTACGTATTTCGCGGTGCTAACAAAAACCGAAACGTTGCTGTCGAAACGAAATCGAGATGTATGGGTTGAATGGAAATGTTTTTACATGTTCGAGTTTGTAACGAAACTTAGGATCAGTAATGGATACCCAATTAACAACGTACTCGTCGATTGATGGAACGAAAACAATTACTCTTCAGCTTTTTGTTTTCTCAGGAAGTCTCGATCGCGTGGATTTATCGATTGTGAAATAAAAGTGTGGGGAGGATCGGTGTGGACAGTTGGAGGCAATTTGGTATTTTGCGAATTTAAGAAATTTTGATATCTGGAAATGTAAGGGTCGATGAATGGAAACAGCTACTCTTCAGCTTTTTGTTCTCTGAAGAAGTCTGGAATTTATCGATTGTGACGATATAAAAGTATGAATAGGTAGGATGTGGCTGGTGTGGACAGTTGAAAGCAATTTGGTATTTTGCGAATTCAAGAAATTTTGATATCTGGAAATGTAGCGACAAATGGAACGAAAATAGTCCTCTTCAGGGCTGTGTTTTCTTAGGGAGTCTGGAATGAATGAACGTCCCTGTGGATTTATCGATTGTGTCGATACAAAAATAGCAACGAGTAGGATAGCTAGTATGGAAAATTAGAGGTTTGATAATTTAGACCTTTGCAAAGATAACAAACTTGAAAATTTGGCTATTTGGAAGTGTGGAGATCTGAAAATTAGAATTTTTGGAAATCCAGAGATTTGACAATTAGAGAGTTTGAAAATTAGACAATTTTGAAGACTTAGAATTTGGAAATTTACAAACTTAAATATTCTCAACCTTGGAAACCTAAGAATTTAAAAACTTGAAATCCAGAAATTTGAACATTTAGAAATTTGCTCTATGCAAAGCATCAGCTAATACTATTTTTCGTATATAAAAAGTTCATTCACGAACACGAAATTTTATCAATTTGCAAACCTGAAATTTCATCAATTTACAACCAAAAATTTGCAAACTCGCAAATGAGAAAACTCAAACATGAAAATTGTTAGTCTATTACCAAACTAAAATGACTACTGATTACACGAGTCAGTGCACCCACGTTAAAATCACGGCCAAACATAGACCATCCTGCATCAAACGACGATGCAGTGATCGTTGAAGAGGGTGCACGAGTTCAGCAGTCGGGTAGATTCATGAATATGCAAGCATTTTCACGTTTCGTCGAGCAGACCCGTACACGAGGATTAGAGGGAACGTCAGCCACGTGCGAAAACCGATCTACGCACGTGCTATGGTTGATCCTAATTTAGCCGTTGATCCGAAGGGAACCCATCGCCTTGATTTTTACTCACACCACAAAGAGACTCTCTTCTTCAGAGAAATTAGTCATTCGTTATCGTTTCGTTATCGTACGGTATTGTCGTAGCGTGTGATAATCGCGAGATATCTCGATTGTCTAGTTGGTATAGCGAAACGCACGTACGTCAAGCTTTTCTTATGTACTTCGCGAAGTAGAACTGAAGCAGGAAGTTCGAGGATACGTTGGTTCGATGCCTCATAGGCGGAATCGAGATGGTTGTGCAATTCATTTTGAAGAGACGTAAGTTCAAAGTTCCTTAATATCAATAATATTTTGAGGAGTTAATCTGTTTTGGTTGGAGGTTGAATGGAGGTTACTTCTTTCGGATCGTGATGTAATTAGGAATTAGGGTGATCTGATGGGGTGGTTGTATTTATGTAAGGAATGTAAGATATAGGCTGCATATAGCTTCAAAGCAATAGCTTGCAAAGTATGCAAATTCTAAATTAAAAATTTTCAAATCCAAATTTCCAATATTCTCAGTTTTCATATTTCCAAATTATTAAATTCCACATTTAAAAATTTCCAAATCTGCAAATTCCCAGATCTCTAAATTTCTAGATTTGCAAATTTTCAGATCTCTAAATTTCCAAATCTCCAGATTCCCAAATCCTCAAATCCTCAAATTTTCAAATCCCCAAATCCTCAAATTCCCAAATTTTCAAATCCCCAAATCCTCAAATCCCTAAATTCTCAAATCCTCAAATTCCCAAATTCCCAAATTCCCAAATTCTCAAATCCCCAAATCCTCAAATTCCCAAATCCTCAAATTCCCAAATTCTCGAATCCCCAAATTCTCAAATCCCCAAATTCTCAAATCCCCAAATTCTCAAATCCCCAAATTCTCAAACCTCGAATCCCCAAATTCCCGAATCCTCAAATCACCCAATCCCCAAATTTGCAAACAAAATGTCTACCTTCCCATCTTTCCAAACCTCAAACTTCCAAATTTCCAAATTTCCAAATACCCAAAATTTCTCCTCACTCGCCCAAGTTAAAAGTAGCATAGTTAAAATGGGTATGAAGGTTACAGTTGATGTGGGACTCGCACAACTTTGTACGTTATATCCATTTTTAATTGACGTATAAATAAGAGTGATTTAGCCGGTCTGCGTTCCTATTCGACACGTGCAAAAATATTGCGTGGCTTTCGAGTCTGTTCGATTTTCTTGGACATCGTATAAGCAGCGTATTTAGAATCCGAATATTTAGATCAAGTACGAGACTATTGAGACATTCCTTCGCTTTCTGCTATATCTACGAATTTCTCATCAAACGTTATCTTGTTTTTTCTTCGTTTATCCTGATAACATTATGAAACATTATTATTATAGTGTTGTATATTATAGTGCGATATCACTATCGTGTTAAGTGTACATAGTACATCTGTAAAAGTAATAGATTTTTCTTCCGCTTTCTGATAAAGTGAAAACTCAGACAAGATACTGAAATAGAAATTTTGATATGTGTAATACATTTTACGAAGATAGAATTACGAGGAGAAAATTGATTTTATTTTCTTTGAAAAATTGAACTTTGTATCGATGCAAAACTCGTACAATATTTAAGAGTACAGTCAGATAAATTATAGCAATCGCGTTAACATACGAAAAAAGTTTCTTGAAGATTTGTGTGATCGACCTCTTTGAACTTTATAGATAAGCGAATTGTATTAAGTAATCAATTATATGAGAAGAAATAACTCATTTGAATTGCGATGGAAATGCGATAATAGAGATAACATCGATAGCTGAGATCAAACCGAATTATGAGATTTTGTGCTCACCCCTGAACAAAGAAATTGATGTTAGATCACCACCTGTCTCCCCAACTTGTGTATGTTTTTTGCTTCATATTAAAAATACAATATGTTAAGTTTATATAGATGCTAAAATTTATTACTATCACATACGAAAGTATAACATTCTTCAGTATGCGTATGCAAAAATATGCAACATGTGTATATGAACACATATGAATATAAAACGTTCCTTGCTTTTTATTCTACGCATCTTCCAAAACTGGTTCTGTGTCAAAAAATTTTATCAACAAGAAGACATTTTATTTTAGAACATTATTGCACTAAATGATCTATATTCCAAAGCTTTTTAATAAACAAATATTTATTTAAACAGATGAAGTGTTTTAAAATTAAACCTTGGTCTCACGACAAAATGCATCGTACTCAGTTATCTCAAAGACGGCAGTGTTTTGTTTGAAAACAGATGGCTAGAAAATAATCTGGAATAAAATGACTCGAAATGATCCTCCGAAGGGCGTAGAGCCTACAAGGGTTCGAAAGAGAAGAAACGTTAGAAAATGAAATCCGTAGGATCGTTTTCTTACGAAAGGCAATCCAATTTACGGTGCAGTGGCAATGACAATGCCATCGCGTATTGCGAGCGAGCGAGAGGTTCTTGAAAAAAAAGAAGACAGAGGAAAAGTAGTTCTTCTGACCGTCGTATGCTGACACAGTGCTGCAGGGGTCCGCAAATAAATTGTGTCTCCTCCGTCCTCCCGGTCGTCTCCTCTTCCTCACTCTTTCATCTTTGAAATAAAGAACGAGCCATAAGTGAGTCTGCCTCTGTGCGAGCTCTTTTGTCCCTCTCCTTCTCTGTTAACCCTCTCGCTGTCCATCTCCGTCTTCATCATCGTCCATCTTCCTCTTACTCCCTGAAGTAGCCTCCTCCTTCCCTCTCGCGGACTTTTGCTCGCCTGCCTGCTCTCCTCTCTCTGACCCGTTAAAATAGACAAGCCTTCTTTCCCGGCCAAAGTCACAGATATTACCGGGACGATCCTACAGTGGACGGACGGTACACCAGTGACGACCACGGTTCACCTCTGATTCGCGAGCGGAATACCTGTTTGGAACTTGATATCTGCGCCAGATTTACGCTTTGGTGCTCTCCGTAGACGAAAGTGACCGTCTAGACGCGGTCACCAGCTACAACGGGAAACTTCACCGAAATTTTCCGCAATCTTAAGCTTCTTCACCTGTGTCAGTTCATCTTTTGCGAAGTTGGATTGGAGAAATTGTTTCGCACCGATAGTTCACCTTTTGTGATGGTCAATGTGAGATTACCTCAACGTACCGATTTCGGTTAATCTCTTGTGATGTCCAAAGTGAGATTACCTCAACGTACCGATTTCGGTTAATCTTTTATGATGTCCAAAGTGAGATTACATCAACGTACCGATTTTGGTTGATCTTTTGTGAGAGATTGCTACGATCTTCCGTGATTCTCTGCAAGAAGTTATCGATTTTTGACCGAAGTTCGGTGATGTTCGTGAACGATGTTTGTACGGGTGAACTATGTTCCGGTGAACTATGGAACGTGTATTTATGACAGACAGTGACGAGGATCCGTGATGGAAGTTTGGTGACCGATGGTGAAGCAAATTGATGGAACATGTGTATACTGTTACGTCGGAAGTGAAGTTTCTCGGTCATTTGTCGTGGCATTGTTGGGAAGATTTATGAAGTGATCGATGGTTGCCAGATCGAACTCGAATAATCTGTTACTGGATTATGTGTACTGGTAATGCGAACTTAATTTTTGATCGTGTTAGGTTGTTGGGGGATTCACGGTGGGATTAATTGAAGGATCGAGTGTCGATAACCTGTGTAGTTACTCTGGGAACAGGGTTTCGCTTCATCGTGGTTGATGAATTATGTTGCGAATTTAGTGTTTAATAGCGAGTTCGTTTGAGAAATTTATAGAGATTTATAGGTTCTAAATTTTTCTGAATTGTGATAGTGTACAATTTTTTAATTTGAAAATTGGTGATGGCAATATAACGAGAGTTTGCTTGTGAACCAGTGGTGAGCATTTTTAATGGGGATATCAATTTTTTTATGGGGATTCCACAATTTTAAATTTGGAAATTTTTCAATTTGGTGATTTGGAAATCTAGGGAATTTGGAGACTTAGAGAATTTTGAGATCTAGGGAATTTCGAGATTTAGAAAGGTGGAAATCTAGGGATTTGGATATCTAGGGAATTTTGAGATCCAGGAAATTTTGATATCTAGGGAATTTGGAGATCTAAAGATTTGGAAATCTAGGGAATTTGGAGATTCAGAAAATTTTTAGATCTGGGAAAATTTTGAGATCTGAGGAAATTTAATATCTAGGGAATTTCGAGATCTGGGAGATTTGATAATATAATGATTTGGGGATTTAGAAATTTGGTAATCTGCTAATGTGGAATTTGAAATTATTAAATTTTACAACTTAAGAAAGTTTCAAAGCTTAAAAACTTAAAAACTCAAAAATGCAAAATTTTAAAAATTAAAAAATGTGAATATCTGAAAATTTAAAAATGTCAACGTTCCAAATGTCGAGATCGACTCCTAATTAGTGGTCTTTTTAAAATTAAATCTAATATATTGAACATCTTCGAAACTCGATAAAATTCACCTGGAACCAAGTTCTCCCATTTTCGTGCAATATTAAAAGCCAAACGGAATTTCAAATCGATACAGGATTTGGAAGATTGAAGACAAATATTATCTTCGCTTTTCGAGAGCTATATCGAGAGTTCGGTGGATCGATCGGGAACTTTAGAAGTCGAGGATAAATGTTTCGTATTCCAGTTACTTGGAGAGCAAAGTTCTCAGCTGCTTCAAAGAGTGATTTGTAGCTTCGTGAACCAAATCGAAGCCAGCTTCGCAAAATGCTGAGAATGTTGAGTCTTGTTCGTTGACCCGAAGATAAAATTGTTTCAGAAACGTTTCAGGAAGCGTTTCGGGACGTAACACAAACTATCATCGTATTTAATACTACTTATTTAGTGTACGCGTTTATGCTAGAGCCGTTGATTGATACCGATTGATTCGATTGGAAGCTGTGTTTATTATCGATCGATAATAGCGTGCGAGATTAGAACAGTTTGACGTTTAGCAGTGAATGGAATGTGATGAATGAAGGTGTCGGAATTTCGACAATGTTGTTTCTGAATGGGGATAAATGTTTTTGGTTATATCTATTTTAAAATAAATCAGACTCTTCAATAACTAGAAAGAAAAATACTTTGATTTTATTTTATGATATATTTTATTTAATTTTATTTTGTGACATACAAAATTTAGGACAATAGAGTTTTTTATTAAATGGACATTTTTATAATTTTATTTTAGTTATGTCATTTAACTATTTAATTTGGTTATGTCATTTAACTATTTTATTTTAGCTATGTCATTCAGTTATTTCATTAAATTTCTTCACAAAAGAACATTGAGTTAAATGAATATATAATCAATTTTTAATCAGTTGTTTTTACTCTATGAAAGATATAATAAGTTACTGAATTCTTGAAGAATAGAATATTCGTAAAATTCTGCAGAAAAATCTCGACGAGAGTGTCGCAACAGATGTACGTTAACGTGTACGTAATCGACGAATTCGAGCAAACAACGGTCAGATAAATCGGTATCGTTGAATGGACGAGATACCCGCTTGCCAAACGATCGTCTCCGCTTCAGATGTTGGTGTCCCACCGAATCGATCGTATTTTTCCGCAAAGCGGAGATTAAAAGATCTCCGTGATGCTCTTGACGACCTACATGCCGGGCGATCTGGAGCAAACGGAACGTAGATGCTGCGTAATAAACGATCAAGGCCCGATTAGTTAGCGGAACAAGTGCTTTAATGCGTTCAAGACCAATGACGCACCCTGTGCGTCTTGCAGATAGTTTTTTATTAACTCTTACTAATAAAATTAAGATTTGAGTTATTTTCATTAGGTCACACTTGGTCAAGTCACTCACTTGGCAAAATCATTCTTTTATCAAAATTCGTAACATAATCGTTGATGAAGTCATTCATTATCAAAATCACGTTTGGCTCTCGTTAACAAAATTATGATTTGATTAAAACTCTCACTGACCAAATTATGTTTTGATATGGTCACTCACTAACAAGATTATATTTGAGCAAAATTCTCATTAACAGAATCATAGTTTGATCAGGTCATTCATTAACAAAATCAATATTTGATCAAGATTTACCCTATCAAAGTCACATATTGATCAAGTCTCTCCCTAATGAAATCCCATTTTGATTGACTTTCACTATCAGAATCACACATTAATCAAGACTCTCACTATCAAAATCATAATTCAAATAAGTCACTCACTAACAAAATTAAATTTGATCAAGATTTTCCCTATCAGAGTCACATGTTGATCAAGTCTCTCCCCAACAAAATTCCATCTTGATTGACCTTCACTATCAGAATCACACATCAATCGAGACTCTCACTAACAAAATTATACTTCAATCAAGTCATTCATTAACAAAATTATATTTGATCAAGATTTTCCCTATCAGAGCCACATGTTGATCAAGTCTCTCCCTAACAAAATACCACTTTCATCGACTTTCACTATCAAAACCACACATCAATCATCTCACCAACAAACTCAAAAAAGAAATTTTATTAGACGATTAATGATAGTCTGAAGTATGTAAACATATTCATGGAATTCACATACGTTTTACATACATTGTACTCCGTACAATAGCAGTACTGCGACAGTTAATTCGAAATTTGTTTCAATTTAAGCAAGTAATCAATTGTAAAAGAACATGGAACGCAATTTCACGCGCGGACCGTTTAATTACAATTCACGCGTATATTAAATATTCCCTCATTTTCGACATTTTCATTGCGCGATACAACGTTTTCCGTCACCCCCTCCCCACATTTTTTATTCGCAAACATCGTCCAGGTATTCGATATTAAATTTTCGAACATCGCTGTCGTGATTATTTTCGTAGTCACCGAAACGCCACGATTGAAACACAAGTGAACAGAAATTGAAATGTAAAAGCTCGGGAGACTGAGGATAGGGGAAAGTTGATGATCAAATTTTACGCACGTTGAATATATTTTCGGAGGTGAAGTCGACCGTCTCGTTACGATTCATTTACACTGCGAGTGTTAACATGTTAATCGAACAAGATGACTCGTCATTCGATCAACCTTCAATACTTGTTAGAGTATTTCGTACACGTGTTGGGATAATTGTACTAATTATTGAATTCTGCAGTTTCGTGTTTCATTATTTTTCAGTTTCGAAATTCCCAATTTGCAAGTTCTTATAGTTTCTAAATTTTCAAGCTTTTGAGTAAGTTTCTTAGTTCCTTAGGTTGACAAATTTTATAATCCTCAAATCTTCTAAGATCAGAGACCTTGATTTTCAAATCCGAAGATCTTGAAATACCTAGAGTTTCAAATCCCTAGACTTCTAAATCTATAACCACTAACTTACTACACTTCCAAATCTCTACATCCCCAAATCCCTACATTACGAAATTCTTGCATTATCGAATCCCTACATCCCCAAATCCCTACGTCCCCAAATTCCAACATCCTCACATCCTTTCATCCCCAAATTGTTATAACCCAGGTCCCTACATTTTTAGGTCTCTATTTGCCCAAATTGCTACATCCCCAAATCCATATATCGTCAAATCCCTACATCTCCAAATCTCTACATCCCCAAATCCCTACATTACCAAATTCTTGCATTATCGAATCCCTACATCCCCAAATCCCTACGTCCCCAAATTCCAACATCCTCACATCCTTTCATCCCCAAATTGTTATAACCCAGGTCCCTACATTTTTAGGTCTCTATTTGCCCAAATTGCTACATCCCCAAATCCATATATCGTCAAATCCCTACATCTCCAAATCTCTACATCCCCAAACCCCTACATCCCCAAATCCCTCTGTCTCCAAATCCGTACCTCTTCAACTCACCATATCTTCCACATTCTAAGTTTCAAAATTCCCCCAAATAAACTGATTCAGATAATAAAATCGACTTAATAGAGCTCATAATTAAGTCTAGAGCGATTTCTTGTCGATTCCTAGATATAAGTCGTTCAAATCACTAGTGGTCCATCGAACTCCGAAAATAACGGAGCGGCTTGGGCGCGACAGGAAGAGTCGAGCGTAACTGGGTCGCAAGTTCATCAGTGCTAATTATTATTAATCAGGAAATCTCGTCCAAGCACGAAATTCTCGTGGATTTGCATGATCGCAAGGCCATTGAAGGACGTTAAATAATTGGAACGCTGTGTCGTTAGAAACTGAAATTGTACAGGCACTTGTTTCAACCCTTATCAGAGTTCGTTGCAATGCACGGTGCCAGGGAAAATTGTAATTTACCTTTCTGATAAATTTATAGCTCGAAGTCGTTTGAAGTTTCAAAATTTAATGGATTTTCGCGCTCGAGGGTTTATTACTGTTTCTCAAAGCAGAACCTTTGAACCTTTAACATGTCTTGTATCAGTAAAATGTAGATTGGCAAAAATATAGAAGGTGTTACCCTGCAAATATTCTTTTAAACTTTTTTTGGTGAGGTGACTACAAGTGGGAGAAAAATTGTGAGTGTTATAGGTAACACCTTATATAGTCGCGTTCGACTATTTTTTTTTCCTAATCGTTTCACACTTATTTTACCAGGCGGCCAACGAGGCCATGTTTCTTCGTCAAAGGCTCGTGTGCATAAATATTGCCATAAAATTCGATAATTTTGTGAGAACAAGCAAGCCAGAAAAACGGTGGTCCTTGTGCCCAGTCCAGCGTGGAACGAGTTACACGATCGACCTCCTGGTTTCCTATAGAATCATACTCGTTGCTCGGAAAACAGAAAAAGCGATGTAGAATCGCGACAGGTGGAGAGAATGGGGGTGGACTTTTCGCTCCAGTAATCGTGGATCGTTTGTCGTGAAAACTGATGGAACCTTGGCCAACTCTTCGAGAGTCTCGTAGACGTATCTTTGCCTTCTTGATCACTGCATTTTTATCATCCGTGTTACCTTTATTGGATCACTCCGAACCTTTCGTTTCCACGTATTGAAAGGGTTTTATCTCATGAGAGATGTAGACATCATTTTTTAATGTTTAAACACTTTAACGTTTAAAACATTTTATGACGTTTAATCATAAATTACATGATGCAGAAGTTATTTTTTATTAATTTTTAATTCTTGCTGTATCACAATTTTTCTTTGTATATATTTGTGGAGGAATACTTCTGGTATTTGATTATTGTGGTGTGACAGAATGCACATTTGTAATTCAGTATTTTCTCATGAATGATTTACTCACGAAATTTGAAGTAATTATGCTTTTAAATTATTTTTGCGTACCAAAGAGACTAGGAACAGATTCGAAAATAGACATCCTGGAACCTGGGTACTCTAGTTTGGTGTAGTACTCGAGCTAAATGTATCTCGTACATAATCATCACGATTATATTTAGGTATAACCTCATCGTTTGATGTAATTTCAATACCTATGTTTTTCTAATACCACCTTGATCACAAAGTACTTTTGAATATATTCTTTATGTATTATTTTAATGACGCATTTCAGAGTGGATTACTGGCTGTTATTATAATTCCCGGAGATAATTAGTATTTTAAATAAATTTCGATAGTTGTATCTCGTTGTTGTCTTATTGTCACTTAGCAATGTTATCTGTTTGCGTGAACTCGTAGTCACTCGCTAAATATACTATTCGTGAGATCATGTCCAATGACATTCTCTTTATGATACACTCAAGAAACTGGCGTCTTCATATTTCTCGATAGTCATCATCGATAACTATAGTTTGGCTGATTTTCCGCAGCTTCTTCCATGCGCGACGCTATGATTGCTCAGCACTTTCTTTCCTCGTAATATTAATAGTATAATGCGTTTTATTTGGCTTGTTTGATACAGTAATCTAATTATTACTCGCTTAGTGGATTCGACGGACTTGCAACTCATGTTACGCGTAATTTAACACGTATTAGTAGACTTTGGGTAGCCTTTGAATTATCTATTTATATAGCGATGTTTACTCGTAGTTTTCATTTCATGTTCTTTTCATTGCTGTGAGATTGTTAACCTAAACTGAAAGTTGCGATTCCTATAAATAATCTGAACAAAATAGTCATGCATTTCACTAGTTAACAAAATATTTCGAAGGGTAGAAATACGGAAATTTAAGAAAATTTGAAATTTAGAGAAATCCGTGCATCAAACGAACTAATGCATTAACAATAACATTACATGAAGATCACTAATTAATTATTTAACAGCTTCGAGTCTAAATCCTTGAATTCCAAGAACTAGATCTGAAAATCCCATCTTACATCTTCTAATCCCCAATTGTTTAAATTCATAGATGTTCAAACGTCTCATCTCAAAATCCGAAAATCTACATATTCCTGTAGCAAAGTTTTAAATTTCTGAATCCCTATAAGCTTATGCAGGTGAATGAAGAAATAAAAAGAAACTGGTGCACGAAGATTATCAATTAATTATCGAACAGTGTTATCAAGTGAGTGAGCGCAAGTGCAACATGAAGACGAAGAGTACTTGGTTAAAAAGCGAGATACTGAATACGCGTGTGACGAATCGCGTGGAGGATCCGTGTTTCGAGAATCGATTACTCAGTGTGGTGTGAGAAGATGCCGCAATACGACGACAGTTTCCTCGATTCGCCGATTTTTCGGCGACGCACGCGTAGCTACGCGGTGCACAAGCAATTAGTGCCGAAATCGAAGAGTTTCATGACGGCCACACCTTTGCTGCTGGCCGTGACCAATCACGCCAGGACCCTTTCCGGTTCCATATCGACCTGCAGCTTAAAAGGTAATTGGACTAAAAATTCAGGTTAAGGGCGTGGGTCTGTATTGAGCACGGTTAAATAAGCTGAAAGCGGCTCTGTCCGTCGAGAGCAGTCCGCTTTGAACGTTCCTTTATTAATCGAAGAAATTCGGTCGCGGATTTCATTGCTTTTCCTTTCGACTCTATATAAATTCCCTATAGACGTTATGTAATGAAAAGAACGTTCATTACGTGGCTCCTAATAACCGTAAGGTCGATGCAATCTCGATAATTGAATTATGAAAACAATCGAATCCATCTTAAAGAAGGATAATTAACAGATCAACAGATTTATAATGCGCAGAGTTTTGTAGACTATTTTTGTATGTACACAGTACGTACTAAAGAAAAAGAAAAGAATTAGTTATTTTGTAATAGTAGGTGGAATATTCCGAACTGAAACTTGGACTTCGGAGTTAGGTTTGCGAATCGAACTCGATTGCATCCGTCCAAACACTATCGAGACTCGTGTACAAATACTGCATCCTCAAAATATCTGGCTACAGTAATTGAACTTAATATAACAACGTTATGGAAGCAAGTCTGGCCGCACTAAATATGCTATCCCCCGAGTGTGCTGCACGTGAAAGCGACTCGGTCGTTAATTACCCATTCGTGCTGTCAATCATATTAAGCACCAAACCCACGACATGGTACTACCTCGAGCTATTAACACCTCCCTGTTACTACAACTTGCACACTATCGTCCTCAACACCCATTCACCCGCCCATCCCGCTGGATATGCACATAACGTATACACAACCTAGTGATTTCCCTCTGGGCTACCGCTGCCGCTACAAATTGCTATGTTCTCCGCTGTATTCTACAATTGAGGCGTCCAGAGAACGCGATCTTAATCTTGGAACAAATGGACGCTGTTCGACTGGTCTACCGACCCGCGGACAACGATTAATCTTTCACTTGGGGAGATAAAAAACCACCCTTTACACCTTCGCTCTCCCGCGGGGCGAGTCGTTAGATCACGCTGACGAGGGGGTGACTTTTAAAAATCGAATTAATTCGTCCGCTGGATTAAGCTGCGAGGGTTGGAAGCTTCGCTCTTGGAAGTTCACAGGCATTTTTCATTTCTTTAGAAATTTTACTTCAGAGTTTTAAACTCTTTCATTAAAAGATTCTTAAGTTTTAGAATCTCTTGATTACTAAATTTTTATATTTGTGGATCGCTGGATACGTAGATGGGTAGATGAATAGATGGGTAGGTGGGTAGGTGGATAGGTGGATAGGTGGATAGGTGGATAGGTGGATAGGTGGATAGGTGGATAGGTGGATAGGTGGATAGATGAATAGGTGAATATGTGGATAGGTGAATATGTGGATACGTGGATAGGTGGATAGATGAATAGGTGGATAGGTGGATAGGTGGATAGGTGAATATGTGGATACATGGATAGGTAGATAGATGAATAGGTGAATATATGGATAGGTGGATAGGTGAATATGTGGATACGTGGATAGGTGGATAGATGGATAGAAGGTTAGATCCCTAAACTCCTAAATTTCTAAATTCCTAATCACATAAATCCCTAAATCCTTAAACTCCAAACCCCAAATAGCAAACCCCTAAACCCCTCAACCTCTAAACCCCTTGACGCCAACTTCATAAACCCCAAAACCTAAAAATACAGAATCCTCCAATCCCAAATTCCCAAATGTCTAAACGCAGCAATGCAAACGTGCAAAATTAAAGGCATTGTTGAAAATTGTACATCGAGCACGACGAACGTAATCAAACTAAATCAAACCACCCCGAATAACACAGGAGGCTCCCACGGTTGATTAATAATCAACTCGCGGTTCAACGAGCCTTCGAAACGAATTTCGTACGGTTCGGTTTAAATTTTCGACCGGACACCGGTAAACTTTATCGCTGGCACTAATTACCGCTTGTACTTCATGTTTATTAATGTTGACGTTACTCGCGCGCGAGCTGCCGCGTGTTTACGGGCCGCGGCGTGCAAACGTTGCGGTCGCATGATAATGACTGAATCCGCGTATTTATGAACGGGGCCAGAATTCGCTCGGAAATTTCTCGTATCAAAAGACCGTGTTTCCCGGTGATAGCCTGACACCCAGTCCCGCCGGATATTGCCCGGGGGCTGACACGTCGGGGACAGGGTAAACCGGGGCTGTTGCACGACACGGTCAACCAGCGTGCACGTGACAGTGACCGATGAACTTAGAAAATCTCGTTTGCCATCGAGAAATCGTGTCGTCTAATTTTCTACAACGTTGCTCGCTGCTATAACCCACGTTTTAACCCATCTGCGGTGGATGTTCGTTATCTAACCTGAAGTCTGCCTTATTCGAAATCCTGCACTTGATATACCATCTATACGGTGATTACTATCACTGTATATTGTTTCGGTACCTATGTGAACATTTACAGGTATGTATCGTTCATGTGGAACAATATTTATAATAGGAGATTCATACTTATTTTATTTGTGCAAGTTTAAAAATTTTTCACTGATGAAGAATTACACAGTTCATAGAATACGCAGAAAGTAGTACACGTTTATTGTGTATGTAGTATATGTTCATTTCAAATTAATGTAATATTGAAGACATAATATTGTGACCAATTTCTTTTTGAATAAATTTGTGGCCAGTTGTAAGTTCAATTAGTAATATGCTTAGTGATCAGATTCCTTGGAGTCCTTGCTACATATATGAATAACTAATGTTCCTTTCAAATTGATGTAACATCAAAGACATAATCTTGTGACCAATTTCTCTTAGAATAAATTTGTGGACAGCAGTAAGTACAATTAGTAATATGCTTAGTGATCAGATTCCTTTGTTTCCTTGCTTCATATATGAATAACTAATGTTCCTTTCAAATTGATGTCACATCGAAGACATAATATTGTGACCAATTTCTCTTAGAATAAATTTGTGGACAGCAGTAAGTTCAATTAGTAATATGCTTAGTGATCAGATTCTTTTGTGTCCTTGCTTCTTATATGAATAACTAATGTTCTTTTCAAATTGATGTAACATCGAAGACATAATACTGTGACCAATTTCTCTTTGAATAAATTTGTGGCCAGTTGTAAGTTCAATTAGTAATATGCTTAATGATCAAATTCCTTTGTGTCCTCGCATGAATAAATCTTTCCAATTATAATCCACGTCACAAAACGTTCGAAAGTTTTTGTACATCAGAGCTCATTATCCAAAAGCTTCTTGAATTTTCTTCAGACGTAACAGCTTAGTAACAGGTACGCTATGAAAAGACACGCGACTTTCGATAAAGAGCACGCAGCCTTTACGTCAAATTAGTTCATTTGTATTCATGGCTAATAAGAATAAGGACGCGCAGGTTTATCAGAACGCTTCAGCAGCTTTCGCGTCTCTCTTTCTCCCGAAATGAATGTATTTCTAGAGAAAAAAAAGCCAGGGCGGTGTAATCTGCATCCACAGAGACGGTACCCAGTCAGCGTTTTCATGAATAGGAATTTTCTGTATGAAATAATAATCATGTCTGTAGCGAAAGAAGCTTGAATCCCTTTTCACGTGGAACCGGCAAACGTGTAATTGAATCGGTGGGTGAATAAGTTTCATAAAATTCAATTTTTCATACGTGCCTCCGATTTTTACCTCTTTTAGAGACCGATGTGGTTTTCGAAAATGGGCGATTGACGATGATTTTGAGAGACGGTTTATTTCAGTTCGGATTTTTTCCTTGACATATTTTTATTCGCTTTACGCATGAACTGACGGTTTTATTATTTTTTAAAATGGAACGGGGCTGCAGTAGCTAAGCTCCTCTTTTTATTGGAGTAGACTGACATGTCTTCGGTGGAAATTTTGCAGGACTTGAAAATGGGAAGATAACGGATTTATAAGTCGCTTATTGCAGGTTGAAAATTTGTATTTTTATAGAGTAACTGCATTAATAGTGTATATTATAACTCACTTTGCATTAGTATAATTTTTTTAGCAAGCAGCAGATCTTCAAATGATTTGAAAGAAATTGATAATTAATTTCATAATAAAATTTTATTGGACAAAATTTAACTATTCAAGATGAACAAATAATTGACACGTCAAGTTTGTTAAAAATTTTTTATTAGGACATTCATGGATCAATAATACAATTACCAGACAAAATAAAGCATAATGTATATTTTAAAATAAAAATATAAAATTTAATCGATAGACTGAAATACTATATTCAGATAATAATATTATAAATCTAAATGAAAAAGAAAATGAACAAAATCTCGAATCGAACAATAACAAATTTTCGGTAATGGAAAACTAAATTGGAAACAAATATACAAGATATTAATAATTTAGTATGAAATTGGATCGTAGCGTGTTTCAATCTGGAACCACTCGAAGGCAAATAAATTTACCCCCATACGGATAGCAATTTGTTGTTCACACAGGTATAAATTACGCGTTCTCCTCGTATACGAGTATTTAACGCGTCAAGTAGAATCGTAGGAGGGCTAGCTTGTTTTACGAGGGTGGTCCTACACGCCAGAGGGTGTAAACCACTACTTAATCAAGACGTTACACGAGAGTTCTCTTCGCGAGAGTTCTCAGCCTCTTTTGCCCTCGGGGCTTGGCCACCCCTTTCAGTATCATCGATCCCCGATAGATAAAAGGCTCTGAATCATGTGTACTCGAAAACTAAGCTGCCATTCGCTTTCTCAGAAACTTTCGTCGAATTTCATTTTCTACTATAGCCTTCACTGCTTTTTGTACCCTCTTTCTTATCTTGTTCATTACAAATCGTTTGTTACTCAAATAACATCGTCAAATTTTTTGAAAGGGTGACTTACTTTAAATGAAAGAAAATTAGTAAAAAGACAATTAGAGTTAGCTATCATATTAGTAAATTAAAAAATGTAATTTATAGCAATTAAAAAAATATTGTACTTCTTTTCGTTATTTTATTTACAATAACTATATGATAGATTAAGTGTGAGGAAATGAAATAAAATCGTCATGA